GCATTTGTATTCGTCAAGTGTGTGCATGTGCCTGCACACGCTGGTTTGTACACCTGCAATTGATAAAACAATCATTCTTGTGCACTGTAACACAAATTAGACTTGGCATTTATGAAGAATGAATCATACAAATGTGAGAGCACACACACACGCACACACACACACACCCGGGGGCTGGATTGTAACTGTGATAAGACGACCTGCAGGTAGGAGAGCAAATGAGACAAATGATAGATGACAAATAAAAGGCATCCATTTCTAACTAGGAAATATTTCACAGCAAATTAGTTGTGTATATGAGTGGTTTCATTTCAACATCTGGTTTCCAACCACAGAAAAAATACACAAATCTCCCCCTCTCCTTCTGTGTGTTTGTGTGTGTGTGTCAGGTAATATGTCAAGTCAACTATGTACAGAGTGAAACAGCCTTCAACGCCAGCATGTGAAGTATTAGCCCAGATCCAACTTCAAGTTCACGTTACCACATCAAACAGGCAGAATGACACACACTACTGTGTGCGTGTGTGTGTGTGTGTGTCTGTGTGTGTTTTGGTAGTGTTGAAGGAGAGCTCTCCCTGGCAGAAGATGGCACCTATTCATATTGGTGGCTCGTAGTTGAGCTAAAGATAAACACAAGTTCTTGTATTAACTTGTATGTGTGTGTGTATGTGTACAGTATGTGTAGCATACATGCACACACACACAATATGACAAAGTTTATTTGGTAATCAACAGCAACATGTCGGAGCAGTAGCGTAGCAACCCACACATACAAATGAAACAGAGACGTGTTAATCTTCTGAAAGAGAATTAAAATTGACAAGCTGGAGGACAAATTAATTTTCATATGCTCAGAGTTAATTCAGTTAGTCATAACATGATATCATTGCTTATGGTTGTGTGTGTGTGTGCGTGTGTGTGTGTGCTGTTTTGATGATCGCAATCATTGTTATGGCATCCCTGACATGGTTACCAGATAACTTGAAAACAAAATATATAAAAACAGGTGTCACAGTTACACTGCAGACACACACACACACACACACGCACAACATTTTCATTAAAGTAATTAATGAAGCACTGACTGATCCAATATTAGTGCTTTAAGTTTTCATTAGAACATTTAAGCAGCCTTTTAACTTGAACAGTCAAGTTGTAGATTCACTGTGTATGACTGTGCGTGTTTAATGCAGCTCTTGTTAGTTGCAGGGGTATTTTGTTCCGTGTGTGTGCGTGCTCCTTTTTGTTTAAAGGAAAATGACTCTCAGCTTTGAATGTCCTGCCAGAGTTTTGATCAAAACACTCTTTTAACTCACACACATGCCCGCACACAGTGAGTGAGCAGATGACACTTTGATATGGGGAAGCTTTTATCTCACTTCTAATGATGAGATAGGAAACAGAAAATGCCAGAACATACACACACACACAAACACATGCACATGCACAACCACACACACGTGCAACCACATTTGCAATGACATGCACTCATAAGCTATTAGTGAATAGCTCTGTATCAAATTTAGCCTCACTGAAAGTCTAAAGGCCTGCAGCAGTAAAACATTGACATCGGTGATCACCGGTGTTGCAGCTCTACTGTGTGAGTGCTGTTGAGAAATGGTCTCTCGTGGCCGAACTGGATTACACCAGATTTGATTTGGCTGCTTGTTGTGTTTTCATTTTAGTAAAAAAAACTAAAACAAATATGATTGTGCTTCTAGAAAAATAATAATAAAAAATAAAATGCTTGTATTGTTTCTTCTATTTACATAGAAAAATAGAAGAAACAACACTTTTTATTTAGGTCTTAGTCTTGTACAAAGTAGAACAATGATGCAAATTTATTGACAGCGATAGCAAAAGTACCCCCAACCCTTGAGATTCAACAAAGTGACAAAAGTAGGATAAACAGAAAAAGTTTCACAAACATGTTCTATGCTGTCAAGGGCTGAACATAATAAAGGCTTTGTAAATATGAAGGAGCACAGAATTAGTAAACTCTTTGACAGATGCACACGTAAAAAATAAAATGATTGACTTGGCACATCATGAACAGTGTGGATAGCAGATCAGTGTTGTTTGCGCATGACTGTGAGTGTGTGCATAACGTGTCCTGAGAGTGTGTGCGAGACATGTCCTGACGAGGCAGTTGATTTGGGCTGCTGGTAGGGGGTACTCTAATCTGGCACGAACTCACTGGCACTGCGCTACCTATTATTCCACTGACAGCCACTGCCCTGGGAACAGAAGCTCAAGCCCATGTGCACAAAGCACACACAGATTTGTATACAAAATACACACACACACACGAAATTCTCACACACACCCACACATACACACACATGAAATTCACTCACACACCCACACAAACACCCACACCCCTCTCGAGGCAGTGTTCTTTCTGATCTCGCTTTGGGAATGGTGGGGACAGATGGGTGAACAGTGGGAGTCCGGGCTGCCATCACTCGAACAGCAAGGGCACGCACGGACATATACACATATTTCACGTGCGCACAAGATCACAGGCGCAGTCAGAGTTGGTCAGAAAATGGCAAACATACAAATAGACAGACTAAAATGCTAACGGAAAGGTCCAACTCACTGGGACTCTCTCTCTCTCTCTCTCTCACACACACACATCAGCTAAGCCACAGTCACACGCAAACTTATTTACTTGTAAATGCACTCAGACTCAAACATGGTCTCACATGCACACACACAAACTCACACAAACACGCACAGGATTACTGGAAACATGCATACTTGCTCAATCCATTCTCACCCCACACTGCTCTCAACCTCCCTACTGTAAATCAAGTTCCTACTGTCACCACATATCACACATGGAGAGAAAACATCCATTTTCTTTTATTTGACCTTAATTCAGTCAGTAGTTCTTTTTCCAGTAAATATGTTACACGAAATAACACGGAAACAAATTTACAGAAGTAAGAAAAGAATTCATTTCAGTCCCTTTCAAGCATTGTTATCTCGGAAAAATCTGTGATTCACTTCACAACAGGCTGATTTACAGTGTGTTGTTTCTAACCTGGCTGCTTTAATTCCGTTTCCTCGAGCATGAGGAGTATCTCAGCTGTATAATCCCTCCACACTGTAGCCTGCTGGTACTGTGGCAAACTGCATGTGATGATAAGATTACTTAGTTAACATTTGAACATACTTTATTTTTGAATTATTTTAGTTAATTTGTAAAATACTATACCTAATATACTATTCCTTACCTATAACTAATAATTTTATTATTATTTCTTTACACCTTAAAAAATCAACTTTTTCTAAGATTTGAATTGAATAGTCTCAAGTGTCCATTTTGACTCAAGTGTGAGTTTATGATGTAATTTTGATTTGTTAGTAAGACATGGTGATATTGAGTGTGATATTTTATTTCCTGTTTGTTTGTACATCAATGCATCGCTCTGGTTACCTCCACCATGTTTTCACCATTGCCTGTTGGTTGTTGGTCGGTCGGTCTGTTTGCAAGCAAGATTATACAACAACAACTTTTCGTAAATGGATCTTGATGAAGACAATCTGATATATTTAGAGAACTGATATCTATGACTGTGTTCCATTCGGTAGCTTGATTGAATTTACTGTTGGGCCTTGACGGTGATATGGGCTCGACTGAGTTGCCATTCTACTTTTTACTGCATATTTATGTTGCTAACTCATCCAGTTGCTGTCCCCACATAAAAGGGAAGAGGTTTGTTTGTCACTTAGCTGTCATGAGACTCTCCACACAGTTAAAAAACTGTCAGCAGATCAGTATCAATCACACACCCACTTCACAATCACCACACCCAACACACCTAGGAACAGAGCAATCAGAAGTCTGTTAATGGCAGAGGTAAACCAGAAGGAAAGGGCGTTTTACTAACTTACCGCTCATACAACGTGTACTGGACAGGATGTACTTGAGGGCTTTATTAATAACAGGACAGGACTTTTACTATTAGGGTGTCAGTCTAGAGAAGAAGAAGATCTCACAAAGGTATTTTTATTGCATACTCTGGATGCCTCAGTTCATTTGTTTCCAAAGTGTTGGCAATAAGCAGAAAATCAGCTGGCAGGATCTCAGTGAAATAACACTTCTCGATCAAACTTTGTTATGATTATTACCTGTCTGCTTTGAGATTGTTTGTCTCGTCTGCTCTGTGCACTTACTGCTCATTATGTTGATCTCTGTCTCACTGTCAGTGCTCATTTGTGGTGTTTTAAAAAAGGAACAAGATGTGTTGTTTTCGGTTTTCTAACAGGTCTTACAGTCTCAGTTTTCATATGAATCTGTCTGTCATGGTTTGATTGGCTGTGGAATCAATCAATCAAATGAAGCTGAAAGGAAGGGCAGTGCAGAGACAGTTTAGGTTGATTGCAGAATTGGCCGTAGGTGTGTAAGCGAGTGTGAATCGTTGTTTGCAGTGTTTGTATATAATGGCCCTGTGATAAAATGGTGACCTGTCCAGGGCATAGCCAGCCCCTCATCCCTAAGTCAATTGGACTTATTGGATTGAGCTTCCGTTGTATATTAAATACAGGTTTTTGTGCAGGTACAGGTCAGAGCCTAACCCTTCAGTCTTTTATTATGCCTCTATCTCCGAGACTTCTTTATTTTATAATTTTTTTCCTATGCAACTCATCTATCCTTTGCAGCTCAATCCAATTAAATCTTTGCTGCCATGCTTTCCTGACTCTGCTTATGCCTCAAATAATAATTCAGTATGTGTTGAATCATGTGAAACCAGTAAGATGAGCTGGGGAGGAAAGCCCGTCTCTTTATATCAGTAAGCCCTAAGGAACATTTAATTTTTCATTGCTTTTCTTTTCATCACGATCAACCTCTCCTGTCATTAAAGTTGCATCATCAGTAAGCTCATTGCACCCCATGGGAGTACAGTGGCATTAGGCTCTCTAATTAATGGATACTGCATGTGACTTTTCACCTTCATTTTGTCTCTCTTCTCCTTCTTCTTCCTCGACAGGCTGGCTGTGGCAGCTTCCAGAAAAGACGAGGCCGAGCAGTTACTCAAAATAGAGACACAGCGAGGAGAAATCCTCAGGTAAGGAAACAAGCAGACAGAGAAGTGGAAAAGAAGAGAGTGGTGGTTGGGATAACATGATTAAGATTTAGTCGAGCCACCGCAGGATCGAGATGAAACAGAAAAACAAAAGATGAAAAGTATTGGTCTGCATCACCCCGATTGGCTGTCTTCTCCTTGACCAGATGCACACCAGGAAGGCCAGGGCAGAGGGGAATAAACTATGCTAGATGATAGAGAGGGAAGATGATGAAAGAGAGAATGGAAAAAACAGAGGAAAGAAAGTTAATTGAGCTGACCCACTGGTTATTTCCTAGAAGTACAGAGTGATTGAAAAAGTCGTGAGCAGATAATGACAGTAGAGTAGCAGCGGAGGTGAAGAAAGTGGGAGGGAGCAGATGAGATGTCAGGGAGTAAAAAAAGCTTTTCAATCAGACATTGAAAGCTGCTAAATGAGTAAACTGTCAGCTGAGTGAACGCTTGCAGTCTCCTTCTCTCCTTCTCTATATCTTCACCTTATCACCGGTGACAGATCTGCCCTATATCTGTTCCTCCATTTGGCGCTGTCAGCCTTACGATTTATGTCATCTGACATTCTAAAACTGGCTCTCGTGACAAGCGGTGCCCGTGCTCTGCTCCACTCTGCACGCTCTCACACACACACACGTGTACTCACACTCTCTCAGGCACGACCGAGCCGCTCAGAGTCTCCCCTCTTATCCCGTCTCGTCCGAGACTCCGTTCATTTTTGATCACCTAAAGCCACAAACCCCGAAAAACAACCACCACTCAACTCTGCTGAGCTCTCAAAAACAGTCACATCACTTTGCACGCAGCCATGCTCACTATGTCTGTCAGTGTGTGCTTCTATGTGTGTGTGTACCTGGGATGTATCCAAATGTGTCATGTGTCTGTGCATACCTATCTCTGTGTATGTGTGTGCGTGTGTGTGTGTAAGAAAATGGGAAGCTCAGTGTGCTCTCACCCACATGTTCCTTCAAAAGTGTTCTTGGAATAACAGAATGTTCTGTTCCAGCACTCTAGTTTTCCACGTCCATGCTTTGCATGACTTTGTGACTTGATTCAACGTGTGCGTGTGTGTGTGCGTGTGTGTGCATGTGCACGTGATGAGCTAGTGATCTTCCATGTTGCTTAAAGTGCTTTTCATCTGAACATATTTCTTTGTGAGTGAGAGAGATGGAGGAGAAAGAGGGAACAGGAGAGTGCTATGCAACATGGCTGTGGCCTTTTTTAAGGACAGTGTCTTTCCATCAGTCCTCAGTTTCCCTCTGTCTCCGACATTCATTTTTTTATGCCCTGCCCTCTTTATATGCTCTGTTCGTCTCTGGTAATTATGTAATTCTATTTCTACCTGTCATTCATTCACTAGATCTGTGGATATCAGGACAAAAGAAACTGAATGAGCACCGAACAATTTCAGTCTGCAAGTCAACATTTGACAAGCACAGATTTGTAAGAGCAGAGTTTTTGTGCATTTAATGACAGAATTGTGGGTGTAACAGATGCCTGCAAGAATTGTGTAACTACATTTGATTGAGCACTTAATAGATCTTCTCTAATCCTTAATTATTAAAGGTGCCCGCTCTCTGAATCTCCTGAACACAAACAAAAAGTGTCTTCCGCTTTGTGTGATTCTACCAGTGTTACTCTGTTACACCCCTCTGCCAGATAAAGAAGAAAAGCTTGGCATTTTAAATCATCTCATGGGGAAAGAAAGCAAAACCTTGCATTAGCATTTACTTGAAGATCAAAATGTGTTGATACCAAATTACTATTTCTAAACTGATCCTGTTCTGGAATCTGTGTCTACATGCTCTTCAGCTTTGATTCAAAGTCAACTCCAGTCTTATTTTGCGCTGGCTTGATTCTTACATGTTATTTATAAACTTCCACAAAAATGTTGGAACTTCAAAAGTCATGGAATTCATTGTAAGGTCAGTTACTGTTTGAGTGAAGTACTAAACAAAATGTGAAATAATGACTGTGTTGTATTGACTTTGAGCAAAGCTTGTTTCAATGATAGACCAGCTGCATTTTACAAAGATCTTAATCTGTCTTAGGAATGTGTAACATTACTTTCAGAAATACTTCATTATTCACACCAGGCAGCAGCACCCACAATCCTCTGATAAAATCCACTGGTGCAGTTTGGAGCCACTGTCAAAGTGTCCCAGTTGTGGAAGCAGGAAAATAGAGGAGGAGTTTGTTCTGTCCACGTCTTTGTATCCCGAGCTTTGTTATATGTCAAACAAAATGTAACAAAACAAAGACAGAAAAGAAAACCAAGCGCTGCCCTTTTTACCTCTACTAATCATTCATTGAAGTTTGTTTGTTTGTCTGTTAGTCAGCAGCATTAGACCAAAAGTACAGGATGAATTATTACAGAACTCTGTGGAACGATGCTGTAAGAGTCAGTGCTGCGTCACTTCCTTCAACATTGTGGGATAAGGTGGTTTTCAATATTTAGTTCATGGATCTGGATAAAAACAATCAGGCATGTTTAGGGGTCTGACATTTATGAGTGTGTGTATTTTGGTGGGACTTGGCTCTAGGCTCTACCGAGGGCCATTCTAGTTTGTTGAAGCGTTGCACAGATACACACCCTTGTATGATATTATGCATTTAAACAGTATTCTAAAGCTGTTATGTTGTGTTTGTTTTTGTGTGTGTCAGAGGTGTGTGCGTGAAGCAGGTGAAGGCCTTACGAGCGACTCTCTTCGTGCTCCTCTCCTGTGGCAGCCAGCTTACTGATATACGGGGTTTCGTCAGCCAACTGACGGGGGCCTGGCAGGCCTTCAAATCTCAGATACTGCAGCACAGCTCACAGGGGTTCTCAGGTAACACAAACATAGACATAAGTGCTCACACACAAACACTAAATTAAGCTTCTCACTTGAAGGAGAGCAGAGACAAATAAATATTTGGATGTATGTAGCCCATTTATAGGTCAATACTTTACAGCTGGAACAGAAACAAAAGGGACAAAGAAACTTGAACAAATACAGCAGAATGAAATATTAGTTCAACTGTGGTGTGGACTTTTTTAGTTCTGAGGGCAGCACCCATAATAGATGACTGAAATGTTTGCGTGTGTGTGAGTGTTTACAATCACTACACACATACTTGTTAACAGTTAAAAAGACGGGAAAGAATGTGTGTGAGTGCTGTAAACTCAAATATAAATTTGACTATAAAGAGGCTGTAGGCCAAACGGAAAGAACTGCAGGCTGTGTTTGTGGGTGTGTGTATGTATGTGTTTGTCTATGTGTGTGTATGTGTGTGTGTTTGAGATAATAGTTGACAGTAAATGCCTCAAGGAGAGCTAACCTCCAACTCACCTCATGGGCGGGTCTTTTTTCTTTTTCTCTGCACGTTCCAAACAGCTACCAAGAGTGTATGTGTGTGTGTGTGTGTGTGTGTGTGTGTGTGTGTGTGTGTGTGTGTGTGTTTGTGTGTGTGTGTGTGTGTGTGTGTGAGAGTGAGTGTCTGTCGGTGACTTCAGACAGAAAAAGGAGATACAGAGACTGAGGGAGAATCTCATAGAGGAAGAAAGAAAAGTCGTTTCCTGCTGTTTCTGATTCCGTGTGACTACGTGTTTGGTTTGTTCAGTGACGTGAGCGCCAATAGCAGCTGCTGTATGGACCAACAGATGTAATAAAACACATACCAAGGAATGCACACACACACACACACACACACACACACACACACACACAGACACACACAGGCTTATAGAGGATATATAAATGTCACAGAGACTAGGGCTTCTCTCAAAACCATCCACCAGTCACTTCCAAAAACTTCACTTTGGGCTAATCAGACTTTATCTTGGGTTCTGTTCCACACATTGTTGTGTGTTTAGTTGTGTTGTGCTGTGTGTGTCTTCTAAGAAAAAACAATTTGTTGGACAGGTGATAGTCCTGATGATGTAACTAACATTAAAATGTTGCCTTTTTGTTGGTTTTGTGTAGTAATTCTCTAGTAATTTTTGTCCGATTTTGCTCGGATATCTCTTTGTGGTGATTTTGTGTCACTTTGCACATGTTTTGTGTCTCTCTGTATTTGTGTGATTGACTTCTCAACAACAAATCTTAACAGTAAAGATCCCAGTAGGTCCAGTGTAACTCAACTTATATCTGATGGCCCACAATTCCTGCTATTTAAACACAATCCCTCTGTCAATTTGTCATTTGTTTATATTAAGCCAAACAATGGCTATAAGTATGGTCATGATAAGTCATTTCTAACTCTAAGTTACACTTAAATGAACATTTATTTATTTAGCTAAGCTCTATTATGTTGTGTTCTGTCCTGTGTGTTTGCATTTCATGGCACTGAAATGCTGGTGACACCCTTGTACAACAGTATGCAAAGGGCATAGAGAGGACAAATTGGATACACAACAGGACGTGGGACACAAAGCAAGACACAGCAGATAACTAGAGGACAGGGGACAGGGCAGTACACAATATAGGACAAATACTCAAATTAATTTGACTTTACTTCTGAATTCATCAATGAGTTTCAACAACTAGTTCAACGGAATTTGAGTTCTGAATAGTTCCAATGAAATAACATTTTAATCAGGAACACTTCGTCATGATTTCACCATTTATTGCACAAACGGGAATACAGCCAGGATCAGTGAGGAGGAGGTGGTATTTTAAAGGGGCCGCTTTGTTGAGAGAATGGGCTGTGACTGGTGAGTGACTGACAAGCACCCATAAACATAGCAGACGGCTTATGACAGATGAGCACATGACTCTGTGTCCTGCATGAACTAACGCGATGCTTCATTCAATGTCTGGTAACTGTGTTCTTATTGGACTTGGTTTTAGGTTTATAAAGTTTATATAAAGTATAAATATGTAACAATGGGCCTGGACCAGAATTTCTGCAGGCCATGAGCCTCGAGTTGCAGGCCTCTACAGAGCACACACCTTAGCCAGTCACCTGCATATCCCTCCAAACTGACGTGGGCGTTAGCTGGCAATTAAAGTGTGCTACCCGTCTATCAGCGCTCTGTGGTTAGTGTCAGAGAGCAGAAGAAAGGAGAGGGGGAAGAAAAGGAAGACAGAACCATAAGGAGGTTGCCTAATGTGAACATATGAATGTGGTTTATGGTTAGGTGGAGACGGGAGAAAAAAACCTCAAGGGGTGTGGAATTTTACAGAGAACCAGACAAAGATGAGCTTTTGAAGAGCAGCGGAAGATGAAAACATAATTAATCTCAGATCAGTTTTATGCGGTTGTCAGCAGATGACTTGTACAAGTTGATGGGAAGGTGACGGACGGAGACTTTTGAGTGTGGGAGGTTTCATTCAGCATTTTGGAAAAGAGGGCAGAGGGTTGACAGTGAAATTAAGGGGAAAGGCTGTGACTAAGCGTGACTAAGAATGTATGAATCACCGTGCATGTCTGTGTGTGTGTGTGTGTGTGTGTGTGTGACCGATCCCTGAACCACAGCCATCTGCCAACACCCTGGGCCATCCTTAAGATTATATGGTATCTATTTCCCTGCAAGCCAACTTTTTATGTGTGTGTGTTGATTGTGACAAGCAGCAAAAACATCAAATATGTTTTCATGCATGTTAGAAAAGATTTTCCTTCCCATCATCTCAGTCCAGCAATGTTCACCCATCAGTCTGTCTCTGTCTCTTTGACTGTCTGTCTGTGTAGCCCTGTACTTACGTAGAGATGAAACAGAATAAATACAAATAAAATAAAAACCATTAAGTGACTAAAATTATGATGCATATCAGTATTACTGCAGTATTGCTAAAATGGGACCCCACACACAACTTACATAAATACAAATTAGTAATACCATATGCTAACATGAAGGGGTCAGGGTTTATGACCTATATTGCAGCCAGCCACCAGGGGGTGATCGAGACGCTTTGGCTTCACTTTTAGGGAGCTGCCATGTCGTCCATTTCTATGTACAGTGTAGGATACAATAGCTGAAACATGTAGTGTTTTTAACACTGAAAGCTTTTGTTTACATTATTGACAATCTATTAGCAAGTTACCCAAACAAAACATGATATTTTTGCATGTTTCTCTTTGCACGTTTATAAAACCAAAATAGACTTATTTATCTCCGAACGCTGAAAGCTCCCTGGAGCACTGTCACTGCCTTAATAAAGGAAACTTTAACACGTGTCTCAAACCTCTACAGCTTAACTTCTGATCAACACACGACACATGCTGTGATGTGTTAAACCAGTCGTGATTATTTCCTACCTGCATGATGGTGACAACCTTTGTCTTTTGTTGCACACATAGCACCACACTCTAATCCTGAGCATTCCAGTTACGTAGAAATAATGTTTAGGTTGAAGCAGCTGCAGGCCTTTAGCTCTCTGGAATCTCCCACAACTTTTTTCCATAAAACTGCTGTGGTTTAGAAGTTGGTATTGCTTTTATTACTCATAATATACCGGGCAGACAACCAGAAGAATGGTTTTGGTACACAAGCAGCTAAGAATGTGATATTATAGTAAAATGGACTTGTATGAATTCCAGGCTGCAGCTGTGTGTGTGTGTGTGTGTGTGTGTGTGTGTGTGTGTGTGTGTGTGTGTGAAGAGACAGCTTCCTCAAAGGTATAGATCGTCTTGGTTCCTTGCTGACAAACTGTTGCTAATCCC